CAATTGTTACCCAAGCAGAAATATTCTAAGTGTCAGCTTATATAATTTACCTCATTTAATTATTAATTTTTTTCAAAAAATTACAGATTGTACCATTTATTATGCTTGTATAAGAATATTTGTCTGCTTTATAGGGAAGCCAGTTTTTAAATAGTTCAATGCCTGATTTTTAATCCAGTCTTAACCAATTACTAGTTCTGTACAACCAGGTAAGTCTCGCAAGACTTTGAGCCTGTTTCATCATTACAATATGGGAACCATAAACTACTACTATAATGTTTTGCAAGTTTTTGAAGATAAGTATCAAATAAGAAAACATATGTGATAACACTTTTAAGGGTGTTAAGCTTTAGACACTATTATTGTGTTACTGACTCACTATTGTTAGAATATATAGTTAGAAGGTTTGTTCTGGCACAAATCTGTGAGACAGCTGGTGAGAACTAAGGGCGCCATTTGGACCAAGAAATAGAACAAAGCTAATTGGCTACACAGGGACTCAACCCATGTCCTTAGCCTCATTAACTCTGTGCTTTACTAAGCAGACACACTATTGCTCACTTACTCATCAGTCTACCTTTAATGAGTCTAGCCTTCAGGTGGGTATTGGTGATGTAAAAATGAATAAACCATGGTCTCTGCCCTCAAGAAGCTCACAGTCCAGCAAGGAGAAGCAGGCAGATGAGTTAAGCAGTAGTTAACGTACTCTGTAATAAATCAGTACCGCAACAGAGATTCATGAAAGTGCTTAGAAGGCACTGCTGGTACTGACTTGAGAAGTATGGCATTCACATCTTGTGACAGAATTTCTTGAGCCTAAAATTTCACTTCTTAAATTACTTAGATGCATTTAAATCCCACCGTTGAAAAACAGTTAATCTCATTCCTCATTTGGAAATGTCAAACGGACTTTTTTTTTTTTTTTTTTTTAATTTAAACAATGAACATTGATTATCTGACAGTTCCTATGAGCCAGAAATTTGAAAATAGCTTACCTGGCTTTTTTCTGGCGTAGGGTTTCTTGTGTGGTTGCATTTAGCATGCCAGCAGTGGCTGCAGTCATTTGAAAACTTGAACGTGGTTAGAGGGTCTGCTTCTAAAATGGCTTATTTGCATGACTGTGGGCAGGAGGTCACAGTTCGCGTCTGGCTGTTGGCGGCAGTCCTTAGTTTTTTGCCATGTGGACATCCCCCTAGGCTGGTTGACTGTCCTCATGACATGGCAACTAACTTTCTCCAGAGTGAGCAAACCAACAGAGAATGTGCAAAGTGGCAGTACCTCGTGTGACCTAGTCTCCAAAGTTATACACTGTCAATTCGGCTCAAAAGTGCCATTTTAAATGACCCATAATTTAATGGAAAGCTTTAAGAACAGAAATTCTCATGTGCTTTACTACCATGTCCTCTATGCTAGGCACATCTTTTCAAATTACGTAAGATGGTTTATTTCCAAATATTTGTTCTCCTATGCATTATTATACGGAGCTAGGAATGCCAACTTGCTCTTTTAAACATAATCATGTTTTTCTCCACAATTCTCTTGACAACTAATCCATTTTGCCAATCCTTTTGCATGGAAACAGCCAATGATTGGTCAGAGTTTTGTTTTTTAAAAAATACAATAATGAGGTTCAATTATTGGTTACCAGTTCTCTAAAGATTTAGATTTTCTAAAAAACTGAAAATACAATTCCATGCACACAGAAGTGGTTTATGCTTTTTCAAGGATTCATCTATTGCTTAAAGCCAGATATACAGGCCATAACAGAATTCTACAAGAATGACCCCTGTACTTGATTCTTTTGGTTTAGTCAAGCTTCACTACCACTGTACCATAAAATAACCAATGACCCAGTTTCATTGCTTTTCTTCCACCTGAACCATAAATGAGAAAAATGATCTGGCCTCACTTATGTCTTGGGGCATGAGACGTGAATGGTACCCTAGAGGTTTTATTCTTTCTGAAATGACTGCTGAAACATTTGGAGGAGAAATGATCTTATTTAATCCATCCATCTGTAAGTTTTGAGGCATGTAGATGTGGATTGGGTGAGTGTGCAAGTAGAAATCACTCACTTCCTATCCTGTGTTGTTTAATGTTGTTAATTAAAGAGTTTAAAAAGGTCTGCAGAAACTGACACAAGAGCAGAAAATCAAACACCGCATGTTCTCACTCATAGGTGGGTGTTGAACAATGAGAACACGTGGACACAGGGAGGGGAGCACTACACACTGGAGTCTGTTGGGGGGAAATAGGGGAGGGACAGTAGGGGGTGAGGAGTTGGGGAGAGATAGCATGGGGAGAAATGCCAGATATAGGTGAAGGGGAGGAAGGCAGCAAATCACACTGCCGTGTGTGTACCTATGCAACAATCTTGCATGTTCTTCACATGTACCCCAAAACCTAAAATGCAATAATAAAAAAAATAAAAAGGTCTGCAGAAACAGAATGCATCTTACCGATAAGAATGTGACTCTTGCTGTTGTAGTCCTGTCATTGTAATTATATGTTATTCAAATCAGGTTCTCAGTAGTGCAAACTACTCATCAAAAGCCAAAGAATTTCTGCTAGGGATTTTGATGTCCCTGCAGGTCAATAAAGTCATAAAGCTCTGTCACTCTAACAGCAACATATTTTATTGGCAGCCAGTGTCCCTCAGGTATATGATTCCCGCCACTTTCAGAGATGTAAACAATTTCCATTTTGAAATATATGACTAGAATCCTGAGTATTAGAGCTTAGCACTGCATTTATTAAGACACACATACTGGCATTGACGCATTCATGAAACATTATTTCTTCTTTCCAATAAAAACTAATGATTATCACCCCTGGTGTTACTCATGTCCTTTATGACAGTATTTGAATTACAGCAATATTTTCACAACTCTTTTCACAGAACTACATACATGTTTTATAGACCACTCATGGTTAGAACCATCTTTTGTATATTTCCTTCTGTAGTTTTAAACATTTAAATCACCAACATTAAATCCCAATTTACTGAAGATGTATGCACATTTACCTTATGCTGGGTGCTAGGGTCTCTCAGCTGACCACAGCTTTAGCCCTTTGGACTGATTATTTCACAACAAAAAATGAAAAAAAAGATACAGTGAATAGGTGTTCTTTATGTATTAAAACATATTCTTCAAAACAATGTGTTGGCTAGCCTGAGTTTTTCTGTATAAAAAAGTATATATCCGAAGGATTATAAATCATTCTACTGTAAGGACACATGCACACGAATGTTCACTGCAGCACTGTTTACAATAGCAAAAACCTGGAACCAACCCAAATGCCCAACGATGATAGACTGGACAGGGAAAATGTGGCACATATACACCATGGAATATTATGCAGCCATCAAAAATGATGAGTTCATGTCCTTTGTAGGGACATGGATGAACCTGGAAACCATCATTCTCAGCAAACTGACACAAGAGCAGAAAATCAAATACCACATGTTCTCACTCATAGGCGGGTGTTGAACAATGAGAACACGTGGACACAGGGAGGGGAGCACTACACACTGGGGTCTGTAGGGGGGAAATAGGGGAGGGACAGTGGGGGGTGAGGAGTTGGGGAGAGATAGCATGGGGAGAGATGCCAGATGTAGGTGATGGGGAGGAAGGCAGCAAATCACACTGCCACGTGTGTACCTATGCAACAATCTTGCATGTTCTTCACATGTACCCCAAAACCTAAAATGCAATAAAATAAATAAATGGGGGAAAAAAAAAGAATTATATAATCAAGTGGAAAAAAAGAAAAAGAAAAGGAAAAAAAAGTCAAGTTTCACCCTATCAGGTACTTTTAGGTCTAACTGGTTTTCCTGTGCTACTCTCTAGTACTTACAGCCGGGGGCAGCAGAGCTTTTCCTGCCTGCCAATCCAGTGAGGAGTGAAGGCAGGAATCAGACTGCCCCAGTACTTGCCCCTGATGCAGATCATTAGGCCTTGAGCAGCTGCTCAGGTCCATTAACAGGCACTTAAGCAGCAGGTAAGGGAAGCTGAGCTGCTCTGAACTAAAGGAGGGGCTGAGAGCTGGGAACAGGGAGGGCTCAGCTGCTGGTGTCTGGTATATATATTGTGTCAAATTTGGGGGACACTTTCTATAAAATCATGGAGAGGTTATTTATCAGTTGTCACATATGGTAGGCTAAATATGTTTTGCCACAACTTTTGCCAAAAAAATGTTATATCAGATTTAACTGTTTATTCTCCTGGCAACTATTATTATTGAATATTTAGGTAGAGTCAATGCTAATGTCAGTCTAGACATATTCATCCCTCCCTGTGCTGAAAAATGTCACATGAATTTGTATATTTGCTTCTGATACCGTTTAACCACAGCTGTTAGTTGACGTTCTTCAGTCCTGGAAATATCTGTCCATTTTCTAAAAAGCAAAGAAAAGTAAAATTTTAAGTAAGCAGTAGAGCAGATGTAGCTTAAAACCTCTAAATTATTCCAGGCCTCGCGCTGCTTTAAGGCTCTATTTTCAGATTCAGTACTTTTTTATTTGTTTCAACAGGAGGATTACAGGATTGAAAATGCTTTATTGTTGTAAAGTCGGAACTGTTAACACCCCCGCCTCCTCTACTCAGCAAAGCCCAAAGAGAAAGCAAGTCCATTCAATCCCCAGCCAGATCTTTAAAATGTTAACATCAAATGAAAAGGCATTATTCCTAAGTGAGAAGAAAAACCTTTGTATCCCTATACGTTACCCATCATTTCCCACTTTGATTTGTGCATATGTCATTAATTCAGATCGTTCAGGAATCACCTTCAAATGGTTTTCCACAAACATAAGAGGAAAAACGGACTGGGATGGGATGTCAGTATCTCCTCTGTATAAATGCGGGGTCGTGTTAGCTGCATTTGGTGGCTAATCCGGAATGATGCCGTGTGCTGTATACTTTCATAATTCTAAGTACAACCAAGTACATCTAAAACAGTCACTCTTGAATAACACAGGTCATTTAGTATGATCCACGCTGTTCCGCTAGCAGAATTGGCCATGACTGTCTCCTAGGTCATCCTGAAGAGATAAAGGGAAGATGGGCTGAGGAAGCTCTGGCATCCAGGCGTCTCCCAGCGATGAAGCCGTGTCCCACACAGTTAGTTGTCAGTGCGGTGGTGACGGCCACACCTGGCAGTGGCTACAGTGCGTCTGCTGTGAGCAGGGGCTGTGGCTCACCCTCTCGGAGCTGCTCCGTGCAGCCAGGGCGGGCAGGAGAGGGAGCCCGGGCGCTCTTGGTGGCGGAGGCTGGGGATCGCAGGGTCGGTGCTGCATTCAGAAAAGCCTCAGCCGCAGCCGGCGATGTGTGAAGTTGGCAGCACGCACCCAGCACGGCTGCTCCTCACCCTCAATTGTTGATGAGCCTGGGCGCTCCTCAATACACGGGAGAGATCCCATTTTGCTTTCTTGGAGAAAGAGATGAGATGAGCTGCGGAAGGTATTTGGCCGTGAGAAGAGTGAAAGGCAGTTTCTCGCTAGCAGCTAAGTTGTAGAATTGCGTCGGGGAGCGCGATAGAATTGACAAGAAAAGAACAGACACCGTTGCAGAGCCAGGCACGCCTGATTGCACGAGTCGGATCCCCGGGACGCAGCTTCCACTCCTGCTCTAACTGTTTGTGACTGAATAAAGGAAACGAGACCAGAAACACAACTGCAAGTGGTGTGCCTAAAAGGAAAACACATACACCCCGAAAGGAGGGGAGGAACAACCCAGCTGGCGTGGACGTTTTTTTTTTTTTTTTTTAAAGGAGAATCCCTCAGGTATGTTCTTTCCTCAGCTGTGTGCACTGCTTCATCTGCATGCGATTTTCTATCTGTATTTTCTTGTCCCTTCTTTTTGTTTGCACTTGGGAATCACAACCATGGGGTTCTCTTCGTATAGCAGATGCGTTTGTAAAATATCGGCTCTCCTGTTTTTATAATGTACATGATCCTTTGGAGGATCATGACTTCTCAGTCATTGCTTTTTAAAAAAAAAATTAGAATGATAAATGATTGTTTAGTTTCCAGTCAACTTTGAGAAAAATGTCTGCATAGGGACAAACAGAGTTGAGATGAAAGGTTGGGATATTCCATAATCCCTTGGAATTTTGGAAGAAGAGAATAGAGCTCAACAGAGAACAAAAGTTGAGGGCTTCTAGGAAAGGGTTAAAAGCCAAGATGTCATAAACTAGTGTCTCACCCAGGTGTTTTTCCAGCTCAGCATCCAGTCTGAAGCAAATGAAGCTTTACCAGTGATTTTTTATTCCTAGCTCTTCATCAGTCCTTCAAGAAGAAGATCCTGCAGATTTACTTTCAAGAGATGAATTGCTTAAATTGCTTGCTTGGTGCTGTTTTACAACTGTTCTATGGTGCTGAAGGAGGGAGTCTAAAAAATTCCGTTTGGTCCAACAGCATGAGTAAACCCTAACTTCTGCAATTACATCATCAATATACTTGTATCATCAATAGAAAGACAGATATACAACAGTAGTAATTTTGGCTGTCTTTAGTACCTAAATGGAGATGACAAAACTTAAAAATCAATGTTCCTTGTTAGGCTTTTAAGGAAAAAAATGAAAGAGATTTGGGGATGGGTTATACAAATAAAGATTAGTTTTAGAATACTCTGCATTTCTTTAAGATGCTAAGAATGTAAGTTTATATGATTTTGAAATTAATAAGAAACTTAGTGCTTTTTAGAAAATCATCTTACCACCTTTTACTCTTCAATACTTTTCATAAAAGTGGGTTAAATTGTCAGTAAATTAAATGTACATGTATTTATATTAAATGAGCTTTTCTGAAGAGGACAAATGAGAATGAGAAAGTACTACATTTTTGTAGATATAAAATATTTAATAGATTTTTTAGTGTTAACAGAGTTAATGTCAAAGCTCTAGGACCCTGATTTTTAATTATTGTTGTTCCCATTTAATTCTGATTAAAAAGTCCAATTGTAATAGACATAAGTAGGCTTTAAATTGTCATTTGTGCATACTGTAAAGTAAATCACCACCCTGCCCTTTAAAAACTATAAACCTCATTTTTGCCAAATGGTAGCTATTTGGAGCACTTAGGGTATAAACAAAATGAGGAAGTCATTTGTTTTAAAATTCCACACATTAACAACAACAACATCAAGATATGAAAAGTAAGTATAGGCAATTCTTGAGACCAGAGGATTGATTTAGAAGATGAGCAAAGTATTAGGTTTCTGTTTGTTAGTAGGGAGTGAAAAACATTGTGTGTTTCTTCTGTGTTGGCATCTCGTATGAAGAGGCTTATGATATCTGTAGGCGATACACTATTGCAGTAATTTTACTGAATCCATTAAATAATATTTGTTAAACTGATAAAAGATTATCTAAAAGATTATTTGAAACTCTAATTTACAAAGTTGTACTTTTAAACTATAATGGAATTTTGTTGAGAAAGTAATTTCAGTAGAATTACCAACATTTTTTTCAGTAGAATTTGAAGGTGGTTTAATAGGTAGAGTTTATTATTAATAGGGTTTATTTCCTAGCATTCAATAATTTGTTTTTAGACTTCCATTAAAGAAATTTGGAAACTCCTTCTAGAGATTATCATCACTCTGTGCTAGGTAAATTCATACCCAGGTGAAATACGAGGTAAACATTTTAGCTAAGCCTAGATAAATCACTTTTGATGTGCTGATTGTTAATAAACTGTTTTCCTTTCTAGGTCATATAATAACTTACTATGGTTGCTAGTCTTTAAATAGGAAGCAATACAGTATGTGGTGCACAGAACTGGATGCTTAAGAGGCCATGGGTCATTATAAACAGATGACAATTGCAGTGATTCCTCTTTTAAAGACAAAACACACCAAATGTATGTTGGGGCCAGAGGTGGTGTTGGTGGGAATGTCAGTGTGCAGAAGAGAGTGTACTTTGTTGTCTTTGCTGATTTAGGGCATGTCAGACACTTTTGGTATGATAATATCTTTTTCCCAATACTCTAGGCACTTCCATTTCTGTTAACCTTCTCAGCTAATGTAACGCATAAACCCTGCCACAAGTTCTCTGAAGTATTATGCCACCTGTACATTGTCTTCCAGTTTCAACATATAATTTTCTGTTATTCATTCTTTCCATCCAATAGTCTTTACTACAGAAGGACATTCTCTAGAATTTTTGAAGACATTAGAATCATTTTGTCACCCAAGAAAAATAATTCTGCTTTTCAGCTAGAAATTTTAGGAGTTTTAAATACATTCCAAGTTTGTTTCTGAAATACACTTTTATAGATAGAAAGCCACTTTCTAAATAGATAATAATTTGTATCTAGTATCAATTCATTTGGTAATATGCATTTAGAATAACTGTAGTGATAATTGCAAATTCAAGGTATCAAACTTGTATCTCTGTTGTTATTACAAATCCTTTCTGGATCTTAAGTTGTCTGTGGTTGAATCACTAGGCCCCAGTTCTCTTCTGGTTTTAAAAAAAGGATTTATTAATAGCCCTCTCAATCTGTAGCTTTTGAGCATGCAAAAGACTGATTACCAGTTCTATAATCTCTGCAGAGATAATGGATGCCACAAGCGGTGTTTGTTTCCCTTGTAGTCTTTTAAGGCATTGGAAGGGAGACGGGATTAAGTATTCTAACCTCTAGGTCAAAAGTCCTCCAGAGGATAAATAGACAAGAAGGCACACTGAATCGTTTCTCTATCTCTTGTCAAAATGGTTGTGATGAAGTAAGCATAAATGTTTTCCATCTATTTCATATCCTAGGTATATTGTATATTTTAGCTTCGGCATATAAAAATTAATTATAATCTGGATATGGAAGAGAGTTTTATGTTACTTTTTCTATATAAAGAATTAAGAAAATATTTTGTAGAAATAAATGCTAGATAGAAAGATATGAACTCAGCATTATAAAGTGTACTCAGATTTCAAGGTATTTTTAAAAAGTAATCATAAAAGATGGGCTTCTCTTTCAAATATTGTCCTGTCTCCCTACATTTTCACAATCCCATCTTCAGCCTGACTTTCCTCCCAACAGTCAATTTTTTTTTTTTTTTTTGGCCCAAGTCCTGTGTTCAGGATAAAACATACTTTGTTTCTGAGCATTCTGGTTCTTGAGAATCTGGGTGCAATATGTCTTTTTGATGGGGAAAAAGCTTTTGCTTGAAAATATTTTGCTTCATGTGTTTTAGAAGTTGAAATAATTTACTCTAGAAATAGTTCTCCAAGCATGTAAAATATAAAAGAAAAGGAGCAGTGATTGGACAGAGTAGGCGACTATTTCTATTTTATAGGTGGAAACAACTAATGGCTTAGGCACCTTCCCTGAGGCACGTTTCTGAGAGAGCATACTGTGGATATGGTCCCAGACTAACTGGAGGAAGAAGGGTTGTGTTTTATTCATGTCATTGTTGAGTGGCACGCAACTGAAAAAATCAAACTAGTTGCTTTATTAATGAGAAATCTTTTTTTTTTTTTTTTTTTTTTTGAAACGGAGTTTCACTCATGTTACCCAGGCTGGAGTGCAATGGCGCGATCTCGGCTCACCGCAACCTCCGCCTCCTGGGTTCAGGCAATTCTCCTGCCTCAGCCTCCTGAGTAGCTGGGATTACAGGCACGCGCCACCATGCCCAGCTAATTTTTTGTAGTTTTAGTAGAGACAGGGTTTCACCATGTTGACCAGGATGGTCTCGATCTCTTGACCTCGTGATCCACCCGCCTCGGCCTCCCAAAGTGCTGAGATTACAGGCGTGAGCCACCGCGCCTGGCCCTGAATGAGAAATCTTAAATAAAAATTACCAGTGAGATAGAGCTAGAGAATGAATGACATATTCTAACAAGAGTCCACTGCTTTTTTCTATCTCACAGAAAATATTGAAATCAAATCCTAGCTCAGTTACCAGCTGGCTGAGAAACTTGAGCCATCATTTTTTTTTATAAGCTTTGGTTGTCTGTAAGACTGGTTAAATGTTCATGAAGATCCCTTCAGGTTCCCCGACTCAGAGATTGCATAAAAGACTGCATCGTGCAGACTCTGTAGACTTGACTCCATTTGAAATGTAGCTATAGATTTACTTGTCTCTGACTTGCTTCTCCTGAGAGACTAGAGGTTTGGTAAATAGCATTTGCCTACCTGCTAAACTGAAGAAACAGTGTTCATACTTTTAGAGTTGAGAAATTTGTCAACTTGTTTTCCTTCAGAAAACTAGGCGGAAGTATTGGCTTAATTATAATCCATGGAACTGCATGTTTTGTATAAGGCTCTGTACTGTGACTCATAAAATATTTGCTGTAGCTTTGATAGATGTTGAAATACTGATACTTCGTTAAGAAACAAATAGCATTAGGATACGTAGCTGCTAACTTTTTAAGAGTAACTTATAGAACAGTGCTTTTAAAAGTAAAGTATATGTACCTACTCTGCTTAGTTACTGGAATAAATTGACTCTCTCTCTCTCCAATGTCTTCCTCTCTGGATTGGCACACTCACTGAAAATATGTTACAAAAAAGAGGGCTGCAGGGAGCACTCATGGCTGAAGGGGCAAATTTAACCATGAAGTTTCTCAAACCTAAGGAACTTTTATATTTCCTTTTCAATTTCAAAGAGGTTTGACTGGTAGGAGGCAAAATATATAGATAACTTCATATATGTAAAAATTAATACTTGATTCTTCTTAGAAAATAATCTCTAAGATGAGAAGATTTTGCTTAATTACACAAGAAGTTGCCACAATATTACTGAAGAGTGGTTGAAGAGCATATTTTTAAAATAATAAATGATAATA